CTGTGTTCTGAAATGTTTCCCGATTACTAAAAAGTATTGTTACTTTTGACAGTTTGATAGATATTCATGTAAGCCATCTTCTACGTAAAAAGAGCTGTGGTGGTGTAGTGGGTTTCACACTGAGCTGCTAATCCCACAGTTACTGGTTTAAACCCACCAGTCACTGCAGTAAAAGTGAGACTGTCTGCTCCTATAAAGATTTAAGTCTTAGAAATCTCGAGAGGCAGAATTGTCCAGTAGGGTTGCCCTGTATTGGAATTGATTCGATGGCTGCAAATTTAATTTTTGGAGTTTTTTATATAAACTGTGTCTTACTGGAACTTTATTTCCAAGGTTACTATCATCCTTTTTCTGTTAAGCGTTTGCTTTGAAGATTATAGTTGTACCGAATGTGGAGAATCTTTATTATGCAAACCAGCTTCATCAATATTTTTATCAATTTTCTCATTTTCACTGAGAAATCAGTTTTCAAAAGCCACTATATTAATAGCTATATCCTGAAGTTATTTAATTCATTGGCATAGAAGAATTGCTGTTGTTTATGGTGAGTTTTAAATGCACATGCTATTTTAGATTTGAACAATATTTCCTACCTTGTTATGAGCTTGAATTTGTGTGTATAAGTGTATATGAAAAGGAGCCCTGGTGGTGGTGTCACAGTTAAGCATTTAACTGCTAATCAAAGCTTGGTGATTCCAACCCGCCCAGCACTTCTTAGAGATATGATGGTCTGCCCCATGAAGATAAAAGCTCTGTGGGGCAGGTCTGCTTCGTCACGTGGAATCACTCTGATTCAAATCTACTGAAAAGTACCTCACAACAATAACGTGTGTGTATACATATACATAGGTATGTATAATGTTATGTATATGCAATTTGTTGAAAGTAAAACAATTTCAGTTAAATGTGCTTTTCTTTCAGAACCAAGCCTTCACGTATACTCTTACCAGTCTCAGATGACAATTTTTAAAGAATTTTTGTTAAGAGCCACTAAGTATAACAAACTGCCAATGCTTGGAGAGGATATGAGAACTGATAAGAAGATAATTCTTGTTGAAGTAAGGAAAATTTTTGAAATGCTGCTAATATATGCTAAAACTAATGGAATAAAACATTTGAGTGATATCTTAAATGATAGTAACATCAACATTTTCATGGTATTAATAGTGCTAAAAAATATAAAAGGCTTTGTGTGATAGAAGCTTAATGTCTTTTTCAGTAAAATACAGAAGCTTAATGTGTTCACAAATTTTAGAAATGTAACACCTTCTGTGTAGTGTGTTGTTAGATTCTGACTCATGGTGACCTATGTTCCAAGTTAGTTCTACCTCAACAACTGAATATATGAGAAATCAAAAGTAATGTTACAAAAATCATACAAGCCTTTATTAAACAAAGTATCAAAATGTGAGACTATTGTGTCTTGATATCTTCCACTGAGGTCTATCCTCTTAAAAAGGCAGTGTTTCCATCCTTACCCTTCTTTGAAGAATTCTGCTTTCTGGGCTTTATCCTACCTCAAGATGGCAATCTAGACATCCTCCAAGGACGCGTTCATGTTCCTTTTAAATGCTCTCCTTACTTGGGGAGCAAAACAATCTGAAGGACCAAGGTCAAAGGCTATAGGGTGGGTGGGTAAGGTTTCTAAATGAAATTCCTATAGTTAGCCCTTGCTACAGTCAAAGAATAAGCAAGTGCATTGTTAT